TCTTATTTCTTGGTTAAAATATTTGAGGGTAATTTTTATTATTATTTTCAGTTTACTAAACTGATAACTAAGCACCGCCCTCTGGGAGGGTGTCATCCCCTCTGAGAGGAATAAAAACTAAGGGATGCTGGCATCTGGACCAGTTTGACCGAATCGTATCTGTCGTTGTGATCTCTAACGTAAATATTGTGATTAAGTGACTTGTGATAAATATATGAGACCGTAAAACACCAAGTAAGTATATATGCAAATATTTTATATAATATCATAATAATTAAAATTACTATTTTTTTCATAATTTGGCTTCCTTATGTAATATATGATAGGAAGTTTAATGTTATTAATAAATAGAAGAAAATAAAATTATAAGGATTTAGCACGGTGGCATTAATAAATTTATTTATTTCTTACCTATGACAATTTCTATATAATTGAAAAATTGCATTTCCATATGAGATCGAAGATTTTTATTTCAAGGAATTTCAATAAATATGCTTAAAAAAGTTTAATAATTAAAACTCAAATTTGCTGAAATGATTTCCAATCCAATTTTATTTCAATTACTTTTATTAATATTGTGAATAAGGAGACTTCAAGGAGTACATGCATATCCTCAACTAGAGAAAATCCGTCTGAGTCATTACCATTTTAACCAAAAGTCCAGTATTGACTATTTTTACCCCAATTTTCCGATTAAACTACATACAGAAAGTTATGGGGTTATGCTTATACAAAAAAATTATAACAAACCACATGTTATTGAATATTACAGCAAAAGAACTTCTCCATGTGAATCAAAGTATCATTCTTACGAATTAGAAACGTTAGCAGTTGTTTAGGAAAACATTACTTACAGAACCGAAAAATTTCTAGTAGTTACAGATTGTAATGTGATTAAAGCTTCTAAGACAAAAATGGATTTTACACCACGTCTGCACCGTTAGTGGTGCTTTCTTCAAATCTTTGATTTGGTATAGAATATCGGCCGGATAAAAAATTAATTCCTATTTTTTATATATTTTTTACCATTTTACTGTTTCAATTACTACCATATAATTGTGTTCCGAGGGCTCACACTATCCTATTAAAAGTTCTCAATTGAAACGACCCTCAATAATTCAGTTTTAGAACGCAACTGTTTAAGAAAGTACTAGGTTCGTAATTGAAATAAAATTGGATTAACATGGAAAAAACGGGTTCAGAATATTCCTTAAGGATAATAATTCTTTTAGTATCTTAATTATGAGTAAATAAAAATAATAAAACTATTATTAATTGACCGTATTTTAGAAACATATTTAAGTTCACTGTCCTTTTTAATTTAAATTTAAGATACGTCATAAGACAAAATTTTACCTACTAGCTGCATATGTTTTTCTTAGAGTTTAAAAAAAAGGTTTTATTGTTGATTAATCAATAGAAACAAAAAATATATAACACTAAAATCTTTATAATTATTTAAAACATAGCTTTTTTAGCAATTTCATTTTAGTATCATAACACTTTGATATTTAATGATAAGAAAAATGTATACGGTATCTATATAATTTTATTTTATTACTTTAAGTCCTTCCAACAATTATAGTTAATTTTTTTATACATGTCTGTATTTACACTACTTCACATCGACTATATACAACTCAATACTATTTATAAAATTGTATTGAAATCTTTCTTATTATTAAAAATCTTAATAGTATTAATAGGTTCTAAAATATTATTATCAGATTTACTTATAGGCTGTCTATGTAATGATATCTAAGATTTTCAGTACTTATTTTATTGAAATTATTTTTTTTTATCTACGTTATATAATATCTGACTAGGGCTATGATTTGAATTTCCAATAAGGTCCCTATCTATGTAAGTGGGTTTCCTATAAAAAGTATGTCCCAAGGTAATGTGAGGATTCCTAATGAACAGTATTTGGTAGTAATTTGGTTTTATTTAATCATTTAAATGCTAAGTAAATCATAGTTATTTGAAGTCATCACTATTATTTTGTTCTTAATCAAGTCATTTTTTTTTCTATAGCAGTAAGTATCTAACTAATGCAATTTAATGAAATCGTAAAATTCTTACATATACAATATCATTTTTAAATTTAATAAAGTGTTGTTCTTATTGACTCTGTTGTTATCAGACAATTAATTTACAATTTATAATAATGACTTGTAATATTATATATTTAATTCAATTATAACAATATGACCGACCTTAAAATCGATTGGTAAACATTTTTCATTGTTATACAATATATGTACTTATACAAAGTTAAATTTACTAATAACATAAGAATAATGAAATATATATAGTTATTCATGAATATTAGGAATGGTCTACAAAATACATCTATAACTCATGGAATTTTCAAAATAGGTAATTATTTTAATAAAACATATATTATTAATATGATTTGGGTTTTTTACATTTAAAAGTAATATAAAATAAATAAATAAATATTTTAGTGTATTATCCAAACGAACAATTTTAATGTATGAATACTAAATTAGTTTAGATATAAAGAAAATAATAAAAATCCAATTGTTTTTTTAGTCTATAATAGGGTAAAATATTACCTTTAAATATTTATTTCAATCTCACCTTTTTCTCAATTAATCGATTGTTGTCATAAAAAATACGTACTTTAAAAATTAATTTGGAAAATCCAAGACAACTTTATATACTTTATTAACAACTGTCAATTTTTCAAACTAAATACGTAGACAACACAGTTTTTTATTTTCAAATTTTATTAGGTAAAGTAAGGAACTTGGACGGTGGAGGTGAGCGTTTAACTCACGTTAGATAGGGGCCCTTTAAACCTATACCTGGGTCGCAAGTCATAATACCGATGCTACATATAACTGACTTCTTTCATATTATCCTAGTTGTATATAATTCATTAAAAATAAATTTTAAAAGTAACGTTAGTCTAAAACTCCTAGAATTTTCAGTTACCGTTATAATGAATTCCAACATAATGAAATACAACTAATCTGTAAAACAAAGTAAAAAAGAAGTTGGATCGCTAGAAGTAAATCGAAATCGAACTCAAAGACTTAATTCCATGAAAACAAACATACAAGTGAAGCTAATAAAAGCGTGTTAAAAAGAAAGTATCAAAGAATTAGTTTAATAATAATTTCAATAGAAAAAAAACTGTTATTTATAAGGTTTTAAATAGTTTATTTCGACTTTAAAATGAATGCATAAGTTACTATTTTTTTCAAAATCCCCTGGTGTTAAAAATTAAAAATAAAACGTTGCAATTAAATTGCTTAATACAATATGATAATTTGTTCTTTAAATATTCTCAGTTTATTCCACAGTTAAAATATTTTCACTAAAATGGAATCTATATACAATCAGTATTTCCTTGTGATAATTAAAGGTTTCATCAAATAATAATCTACTAGCTTATAAATCACTCAAGGGCGAATCAAAAGACAAATAAAAATAATCTAAATGTTTTCTCGTGTAAGTAGCGTATTTATGTTTTAAATGCATTCTTAATATTAGTACTCTTTAAAATAAAAGTCATTTAATGCCATTATGAAATCATTATCAATATAAATAAATATGTTATTGTGTTTATAAATGAATAAATTTAAATTATACTTATAGTAAGCGTCAACTTTTTCGAATCTTCAAATCTCGCCCACTGCATGCGTATTGCGTATGCTTATTCCAAATTGTAATCGTTACGCTACACACAGATCATCAATATTACTTCAATGATAATAATTAATGATACATTTTAGTATAAAATAGGTGTAACGAATTAAAAACGAGACCTGGGAAATCTGGATTCTACGTGCTGGTTTGATCGTAGAATACTGTCAGGAATTGAGTACAACTTTATCAAAAGGCCGTCAAGAAATTTAAAACTTTAACTTCTTATTACCCCTATACATAATGATTATTTCTTTAATTTTATATTTAGGCACATCGAAATAATGATGTAGTTAAAAGTATATAAATAGTAGATGAGTAATAATCAAATTACCTTTGTAACTTCATCAAGAAGAGATACGAAATTAAATTGAAGTTGATATTTTTTATAATAATTTATAGGTTTACAAAACAATATAAAAGATGTTCCACTCAGGCATAAGTCAAAAAATATAAAACAAAATATAATCATATTTTATGTAATATCAACCAACATACTTCTATTCCAAATATTTATTTCTACAAAGGCTACAAGAAACCCTTTCCTAGTCGGAGCAAGTATGTTTGCATTGCTATCAAATCAAATTTACCGGCCGCAGGGTTAGTGCTTCTAATAAATAATATATCACGCGTTCACACCTCACACTAAGCGAGCTCTTTAGGGGATAATAAATCCGTATTTATTCTTTTTATATCGACCCCTGTTAGATGTTACCAGCGGGTAATCGAATCATGCTCGTTCACCGTATCGAATCGATTGCGAATTTTACTGTCCCTTTGAGTTGAAGAATGTTGTAGGGCTAGGGGCAAAGCTATCGAGGAAAGTTGACTTGAAAACATAAATATGTTATTACTTCTTACTCGGAACCATAATTTGACTGCTATGTCAACTCTGAATCATTATCAGAAATAGAACCAATATTTTTTACAATCAATAATTAATTATTAATATGAAATATTTAATGATAAAACTTGAAGAATACTTTCATCACCTATTCAATGGAAACAAAATTTATAATAATAATTTGTTAGACTTTTACGTGAACTCATTAAAAAAAACTAAGTTTTTTGGATACTAAGAGTTTTTTGTTGTTTTATACCTACATAATTCCGAAGTTTCAGATCCTTTACAGCAACCGTGATCACGGGCAGACGAGATGAATTCGATCTCAAAGTTCAGTTTACCTCATAGTTTCGAAAAAAGAGTTTCATTTAAACAATTCCTTATGCCCATTTAACTCTTTTTAATAATTTCGAAACCCTTTAAAATTTGAAATACTCTTTTTCGAATTATATTAAACAGTAATATATTTCTCAGATTAATTATGAAGAGCTGGTTGGAAACGGCTAGCAGCATGGAGGACGGGTCAATGTCCTGCATGCTGGCTGAGTCAAGAGAAGCGCTTCTGCCAATCACTGGCACTGAGAATTTGGCGCCTCGGAAAAGGTACGTTACAAATCTTCTCTTGGAAGATCATATAGTATCACTCTATCAAGAACAGAGTATATTTTGTTTGACGTCTTCTAGAATTGCCTTAGTCGTTCAATTTATACGTTAAATAATAAAAAGATATAGATATAAAATTTTGCATGTAAATTAACGACTTTAATTTTTAAGTTCCTTGTACATATTAAAATAAACTTTCATGACCTATCTGACCAGCTTGCTATTTATGTTTAAATATTACTGTTTTTAAGTTTGTCAAATAATTATATCTATACAAATTGAATATTATTATAAAAGGATGTTTTTTGTTTATTGGTCTTAATAAGAGACTATGCTTCATGACAAATGTTCCTTTTGTTGTTCAAAAATTATACTTTTCGAAAATCTTAAGCAGTGATCCCTAGAGATAATCTTAAATAACTGAAGTGAGTGAACATTAGAGAAATATAAGCAACGATTTCCTTTCAGAACATTAGAACCCTGTGCACTATCCGATGAAGCATACCTCTCTAGTGGCACCGGTTCTCCATGTGCTGGCTTAACAAGAGAGGAACGCAGGCGACGCCGGAGGGCAACACTAAAGTATCGCACAGCTCACGCCACAAGAGAACGTATAAGAGTAGAGGCTTTTAACGCTGCGTTTGCTTCATTAAGACGTCTTTTACCAACCCTACCACCAGATAAGAAGCTTTCTAAGATCGAAATACTCAGACTGGCTATATGTTACATTGCATATTTGAATCACGTTTTAGATGCTTGAATAACATTAGCATTATCAGTTTTTAATTTAGAAGTGAAATATCTACAAAAGAAGCAAGCAACAAGCTTTCTTCAACAAGATTCAAAATTTTAATACTCTTAAAATGTTTAACGATATAAGAATTAAGATAAACAAAAGTTTCAACGCTTATCAAGTCAAATGATTTCGATAAATATTTAAAAAAATATCCTAGGAGATATATATTTCAACTACATCTAGTCCTCAATCTAGTCATAGTGTAAGTTTAATTATGAATACTGTAAAGAATATTTAATCGTTATATATATAGCTTTTCATCGGACAGATACCATACATGATAATAATTAATAAATTTATCATATCATAAAGAATTAGATTACTGAAAATAACATCCGCCGCTTAGCAAAGTCTACCTAATCTATGAATATGATTGACGATATTTGATTCAATATAATTAAAAATCAAGGAACTAATTTATTATATAATCCATTATTATAATGTAATTTAGAATAAATTTAGTATTCGTATTTATTTCATGTAAATATATGTTAAATGCTTTCGTCTTCCTCTTGTTTTACAATATTAAAATAAAAAATCATATACATCACAACAGTTTTATTATTTCAAATATACAATTGCTTTTTAATACTCATTATATTTAAAATAATGTTAAATAAACATGTATTATAACTAAATCTATAAATATAATTTTATAAAATAAATGATTATCTATCTATGTTTAATATCATTCAAGAAGCTTAGTAACACAGGGAAAAATACCATGCCATGTAAAAATCCTAAAATCACCAAACTGAACAGCATTCTAAAGAAGAAAACTTCAATAATTTCTGTATACGAAAACGCTAGAACTATTATAGGAACGTTAGTTAGAGTTATACCGGTGATTATCGTAGAACCAACCTTTTTGATTGCATCGTGGACCTTTTCTTTTGGAGGACACTTACTAGTTGCGTACGCATACGCCATATGGCTACAGAACTCAACAGCGATACCAATAGCCACAATTAAGTTTATAGTAGAAACGGCATTTAAAGGAATGTTCCATATGAACATTATACCCATCAATTCAAGTACAATCATTATGACATTCAATAACAAAGCACCAGTGGTTAAGAAATTAAAACCAGTTACAAGGAAATTTATAAATAGAGCTCCGAGAAGACTGAATCCAATAGAGGCAAACGCATCTTCCCAAATAGTCAAATACTGTTCATAATAGACATAGAATACTGAATATGGAAATACTTCTACATCTAATCCCGTACGAGCTTGTATAGTTTTAGTTATGTTTGCAGAGATTTCGTATGCGTTTTTAACAGCTAAAAAGTAATCCTTTGAAGTTACCAATGATTTATGGAATGCCATGAATTTGGTATCATAAACTGTCGCCAGACCTTGTGAATCTAATACGTAATTGACCTGACCACCGTAACTTGCCAACCCACCCTTGGAACAAATCTCACCAGGTGGATCTTTGAGGAATCCTGGAATATGCTTTCCGAAAGCTTCTGCTGCTGGTCTTATGCCGCCTCCATACTCAGATCTTCCAATAGAACAGTACTCACACTCTGGCGATTCATCTTTACTTGAACAGAACCCACCGTCTGTTGAATTATACTTGCAACAAGAACCGGGCAAAGTTGTCCACTCGAGAAAATCATCCAGCCATGAATTTGAACTCTTTTGAATGTATGTAGTTTCCGTGTTCTTTGATGCTACAAAGATTTGCGTTGAAAGTGAATCGTCGTTGCATGAAAGTCCCCCACATATTACATTCTGGTGATCATGATTTGTAAAATTGAGACCACTTTTAAGAACAAAAAATACTGGTGGGCCACCCGGCAAAATGTTATTGACTGCTTGTAAATATTTATACATAAAAGAATCTTGTGGCAAAGCCATTTCTTGATCCAAACCTACTTCTATTTGAGGTATAAGAATTACACTCACTCCTACCATAGCCATAAATAGAAGAGCTACAATTATTTTAACACGCCAATTTAAAATAAAATTAGCATAAGGCTCCATAAACCTTTGAATTATACCTTGGCTTCGGGTACCATCTTGTAAAGGATTTTCATCATCAAGTACTTTTTTCCGAATGCAACAAAAGATGTCATATCTATTTTGAACAGTTCGCTTGTAATCAATTGACAAAATGCCAACCACAATTGTTATTTGAAACAAAAACAAGAATCCTAAAGCAATTGCTGCAAATATGGCAAATGTTCTGACAGCTGGTAAATTAGAAATAGTGCCGATACTAAAACAAGTAATTTGAGTCAATGAAGACACAAACATTGACGGTCCCACATTTTTCATCATTTTACCAAAAACGTAGCGTCTTTTCTTATTAAAACTTAAGTCTTCCTTGTAATCATCAAAAGATTTGAGATTGCTTTCTATGTAATGCAATTCATTTACCATGAGAAAAACGTTATCTATACCAACGGACAAAATGAAAAACGGAATGACATTTAAAGCTAACAAAGATATTGTAATACCAGTGTAACCTAATATACCCGCTGCGCAAGCTATAGCAATAATAACTATAATGATACAACAGACAGCGACGGAGATTTTGCATTCAATAAAGAAAGTTTTTATTCTCGTAACGTTTCCCAGTGCAAGAATAACGTAAATGAACATTATTATATAACTTATCGCAATGGGAACAATTTCTGCTTTAGAAACCCTATCTATTTCATCTTCAATTGATCTATCAGCCCCATATGCTATATCGACAAAATCTGGTTTCAAATTTTGTTCATAATCATGCATAAGATCTATAAATTTCTTTTCCCATTCAAAAACGGGAACCATATCCTCCTGTTTTAAATGACTTGCTACAGGATAATTTATTATTAAAGTTTTAGCATCTAAGTAATTTTTACCACTAAATCCGCCAAACGACATGTCGGGATCGGCACCACCTCCCCAATCTGCCAAACAATTTAGTGCAAGGTAATTGTTAATACAGCCTTGTATAGAGTTTAAATATGTTTCATTGTTGATATTATTTCTATCGGGAATATAAGTTGCTACAGACATAGACAAACATTGATCAAATCTTTTTTCAACTCCAGCATAACGAGTGGGTGCATAACATACGTCTGTTAATGTGACTGTATTGTCATCCTTCCCGATATTTATAATAGCATTTTCAAGTTTAATTAATTCTTGTATGGCTTCAACTCGGAAAGCTGGGCCGTATGTAATGTTATTGACTGTAAATGGATCTAGACCATTAAATGTCATGAAAACTTGAGCGGCGCGATAAAATGGACCGAAACGGGAGTTAAAATAATTAAGTTCTTGACGACTACGGGAATCGGGTGCAGACCAGAGCTCTAAAGGATTTGCAGTAACAACAATCTGCGATATTCCGATAGACACGCCAAATGCTATCCACGACGTTAAAAGTATCATCAAAACAGGATTATCTGATGAGAATACACCAATTTTTTGGAAACAATTTTGAAATACTTTGATTACCGCATTGACTTTATACACATATTTCAAGTCTTCGCTCTCAGATGATTGACTTCTGTATTTTCTATACTCTCGCAGGGTTAAAATAATGAAAATTATTGCAGTGAGCACAAAAAAGGTTAACCCTACCGAAAATCCAACGCAGTCGACGCCTAGCACTTCACAAATGTCCGGAACTTCAATTTCTAAGTTTCCACAGTTGGCAAGACAATCTATACAACTGCACGGGATATTTCCAGGTAGCGTTTCATTGCACAACGGCGCTCTTACGTTCATAGAATCTTCAGGTGTTGGCCATCGAAGGAAATTTACTTGAACGGGAGCAATTGGATTAACAGAAAGGTTTCCTGAGAATCCAAACCAAGCATCAGCGTCACAGACAGGTGCGTTCCCACACATTAGATTAATAGCAGGAATACCGGATTGCGGCACGATTACTCCAGAACATGATTTGTGGGCATCAATCATAAAATCATTGAAGAGCCTGTAGTTAATCTCGTTTACATATGTAATATTATCCGCCGGATTTACCATCGTCGTGATGTTCATGAACCGTGACTGTTCAGGCGAACAGTTCATTTCGCATATCTGTCTCACAAAGTTTCCAAGACAGGTCGGACATCTTCCGAGGACCCCAGCAGCCAGTAGCATAGAATTCGTCATGCTTCTAATCTGATCGGCGTCACAACACATTAATATGTCTTCATCCGGTTTAACGTTTCCTGATTCATCGTACAAGATAAAAGGACATCTCAACTCCAGTAGCGAGAATATTTCATCTCTTTCCTCTTTAGGTAACGAAGTTAGTAAAGCTGGTGGTTCTATGTCAACTGGACAGGGTTTTTCTAATCCGTTAACAACCGAACAACTGCCTCTCATAACACATCTCGCCAAAACGCCCGTATTCCACAAGCACAAGGCAACACACGCGAAAAATATAAATTTAATATACATTTTTGTTTCAGCTCTTCAGAAAAGTCAAATTAACGAACCATTATTAAGTTTATGTTGCGATCTTAGCGGTGTTATGTCTAAAATGACCGACGAAGTCCCTGTCGCCCAAAATAAGTTAATATATTTTATATATAACTGATACGCTATCAATAAATCTTGCAGGTGACTGATAAAATTCATTCGAAAAATAATTAGCGTTATATGGAATGGCAATGAGTTAATTATTGATAAGACACACAGGTGTACAATGATTAGAAACGGAATTCTTTGTCTCTTGATATTACTGTAACTAACTTTCTATTTCTCATATTCAATATAGGAAGGTTCAAAAAGTTTGCAATTGAAGTTCAATATAAATAGAAACTTTGAAGAGAGAAAAAAGGGGTGAGATTTTAAATTTGTTGAAGTATGTACAAACTGTACACACCATGTGCATAAAACATTGGAATATACACTTAAACATTTATCTCCAGTTAATTAAATAACATGAAAATTTTCCTTAACACGTTCCTTGCTGACTTATCAATTTCTTTTCTAATCTTTTCATCGAATAAATTCTTTGTAATCCATTCACATTAACACTAGTAAGTAGCCTACGTAATATAGTATTTTGTATACTACGCTAAGTTAGGCAACTTAGCGTAGTATACAAAATATGAATATTAGACAGATAATATAATTAATAAATCCACTAAACTATAAATGATTTGAATGCGAACCCCAACTCGAGTAAAGAAATACGAAATCAATATCATAATGTATGATTATTTTAAGTTTTGTACTGTACACAATAAATATGAAAGCCCATTTCTTATTTAATAAGCTTTTTTTTAAGGGGAAAATCATAAAATGAATTTTGGCCTGGGTAGGGCAAAAGGGAGTGTCAGAATCCTACTGACTAAAAACCCCTGTACCTACTCCTGCTGAAAGCCAAGTCAACTTGGCTTGTCATATGCTCTAGGGTCCCATCTGTAGTGGTCTGATGGCTCTTAAAGGCTCGAGTCTGGTTCTGATCGGGCAGCAAGCTACCCTTGCTCGACCGCAGACCCGGTTTCATTCAATAACCTACGTTAATAGTATGTAATGTATGGAGATTTATGAATGAAGAACTGTTAACTCTCCGTATGTAGTTACGATACTAATACATCTTAATACATAGCGCTATTCGTTTTTCATTTATATACAATTTGTATTTTCCGTTATTCTAAATGTTACAATTAGATAAAGACATCTTCTGAAATTAACATCCCTCTTGATAATTTGTTGATGGTAAGATTTCTAGCCTTTAGGTATGTAAAATCTTTAGTTTTCCCATATTAGTAAATTATTCAAATGAAACCTATGATAACACTACAACTTTATCTTCCATCTATGGCGTGTAGCATTACTTCTTACAAATAACTGTATTTGTTTTAAATTAAAGTAAGTGTAGTAAAGTAAAGTGTTTGTAATATAACATTACGTATTTTTTTTAGTCTTTTCATACAAAAGCAGCAAAAGAGGCCATTCGATTAAAGTACTCGAAATATGTAGCAGATCAAAGCCCGTTTTGCTTGATTACAGAATAAAAGTATCAAGTATTAAAATAATCAAAGAACTTTAACAATTCTTATTTTCTATTTTTCTTACATATTATAAAATGAAATTGCCTTAATCTGAGTACTAAAACGTGCGAACTTTAGTAAACCAAAATAAATATCAAATTAATGTAAATCTTTACAATACTGTCTTTACTTTCCTGATAGTCTTTTATTAATAAATGACAATAATTGCAATCCTCAAAACCCTCAAAACGCATTCTTCCTATATATGCTCTATAGATTTTGCTTCTACGTACTCTTAAATCCTATATTTTAATATAATACCAACCTACATTATAATGTACATATAATTGGTATACCAAAATGTAACACGGAGCGTCTAATTAAGGACTACATAAGGCGTTGACAAGTCACGTGTCTTGTTAGATCGATGGTGGTGTGATCGTTACCATGGGAAATCTATTCGCACTCGCAGAATTAGCCATGTAATTGATATAAGGGGTCGCATACCCACAAAATGATAATCGCATCCAATCAACCTCAATACGATTACTAATGTTTCTTCATTAACAAATTAAGGCCATATAATATAATATTTTTATAAGCATTTGTTATTTTTTATTGTTAAAAATAATAGCGTAGTTGTCGAAATACCCGGGCTTTAATTACAGATAGAAAAATTCTTCTGTGTTTCTTTTTTTCTTATATCTACTAATTTTTTTTTAATTATTCAAAATGACTTGTTAATTTTTGATAGAAAAAGGACTTCCGATGTTAACTTAACCTAATGCTTCTCAAAATAAATAAAAGAATCATAAAATGTGTGTAATATCAGGATAATTAAAAGAAAATAGCAAGTAACGAAATATCAATTTCCCGTAATTAGTCAGTGAAACAATAACGGAATTACTAACACCATCTGTTACAAATCATTGTCATTAGATATCAAGAAGCGTTGTCAAAATCATTACAGGAATTTTCTGAAAACGCCATCTTTTGAAATATTTCTAAAATTGCGTACTACTTCGAAAAGCATAGGCTGCATGAAATGTATAAACACTACTCACCAACAGGTGTCGCTAGCGAATTAGTTTTAAAGACAGCGGATTAAATTTTTACATTATATTTATTATCTTATCTGTAAAGCAAATGGACTCACATTAAGTATTTTACCTATAAAAATGATTAATATTAATGTTTTATTCTTAAGAATCTATGACGTCATTATATAAAAAACCCATCACTTCCTCTTGAGAATACTGGGACATTCCTAAGGTAACCTTAACCCAGCCTTAAAAGTAGATAAATAAAAGTGACTCTGAACTCCAACTGAGCTGAATTCACGGCCAAGAATCGGGATAAACAAAATGTGAGGCGGGTGCCAAGTTTTGAGATACTCTCTGACGTCACTGGTATTAAAATACCAATAATTGATGACAAAATATGAAACACACGTACACATACGTACAATAATTATTAAAACAACAAAACTACAACTCCGAGTCGAATACATCTTTTAATTTCCAATTACATTGAATTTAATGTCATTTAAAAGAAGTTCAGTACTAACCAAATATCAAACCTTTTTTAAAATGAAACTTTTATAAAAAGTAAATTTTCTTCGTATTATGTAATTTCTTAATAATATATGAAAGTACTAGTTAACAAGATGCTTCAAATTCCTAACAAGCAAGTACATCGCGGCTCCTACTTAAACATTAAATTGCACTTATATTAATTTCTAAGTTTCTTTTCAAATTAAAATAATATTATTCAAATGTATACGTTACTATAACTTTTTCAGATTTAATTAGGATAACTAGTTCTTAAATTTACAAAATTAATTGTACCATAATGTAATTATATTTTACCTCTTTAATACAAAATTTTCATCTGATTTTTTCCCTTAATATCTATTTTTTTATATCGAAATTAAAGACTTCTTTAAAGTTATTAAATTTATTGTAAATAATTTACTTAATACTTTTACTTAAAAACGATATAATTTTAAATGTACACAAAATATATATATTATAAAATGCAATAACTTTAAACCATACAATATTTTATTACAACGGAATAATACGCCTATAACTTCATTTTTACTGAATAAGGTAAGTACTAACTTGGAAGACAAATGCTCACGTAGTGTAGGAAAAAACCCAATGTTTGAATTTCAATATTGATGGTGACTTGCCAAAGAACATTCACCTCTGTGTTTTAGCTACACTATATCATGATTTGAAATCATCGAAAATATATAACTTTATAACTTTTTAAGCTGTTTTTATCATTTACAACTTTTTAAGTACATATAATTTTTATATTTCCCAACATATCATAGAAGTTACGTCATATCATATATTTTATTGTATTATATAATATTTTATTAACCATAAGTCTCTCGGAAAATATTATTTCAATACAAAGAACAAGCGATTGGATCTGCTTTATAAAGGAAATGTTTGTAAACATATCTGAAAATATTTGCACTCCTTGAATACAGCTGCAATCGGCGACAATTCTGACATAGACTTTATATAATCAAAAATAAGGACTATATTCGAATGTATCAAACAAATTTGCCGCTAACAGTACAAGCCTTTGGTTTCGTCCGTGTTTTATTGAAGATTCCATGTCACTCGTACGAGTTAATTGCACCAAATTGAACAGAATGACCGATTCATTTATAACAAATCAAGGTAAGTATATTCTAGAAGCAAAGTAATATTCCCCTAAAACTGATAACGGTAAATTTAAAGAGCATTTTAAGAATGGAATGAATATTTAAAAATATATGTAAAGAGAATTTAAAAATAGAACGAAGATTTAAAAATATATTATAGAGAATTTGAAAATAGAATACTTCATAAATGACAGCATCATTTAACCCTAGAGTGGGCGCGCTATGAGCATTTTGCCGCCCGCGCTAAAAAACCGTTAATAATAATTAAAACAACTAGGCTTTAGACTTGCGCTTCTTAGTAGCTGCTCCCACTCTCGTTAGCAACGTTTACCGTAAATTTGGACACCGTCAGTGCCCGGAGGACCGCAGGAGAAGAAATTTTCTACTATCAGGTGTCGCCGGGCGGCAAATCGCTCACCGCGCGCCCACTCACGTAAGTAATATTGTATAATGCATTTTTTGCAAACTCGAAATGTTGACTATATTTTATGGTGCATTAATAACTTTTGCAACTAAAAATATATTTGTTTTAGGATTTCAAAGAATTGATTGATAATAATAAATAAAAATGGATAAAATAGAAGATCAAAAGATTTGGTGGGATACCAAATCTTGAACACCAAAGATCGGGCGAAACCATCTACAATGTTTGGATTTGGCGATAGGAAAGTGTTACTATCTTATGTTCCAAATAAAAAGCAAAAGAAAATAGTATTGCTATTATCAACTTTGACCTTAAATGATAACATTTGCAGAACCTGAAATGATAACAT